TGTGTGTGTGTATAAAAAAAATCAGTTTCCTGTTGATTCAGTCATTGATTAGTTGACTGATGATGTCATGACTGATCTCCTTATCTGTGTGTGTAGATAATCTGCTGGTGATCACTGCGGCAACGGAAGAGACAGATGGCTTCAACCGCTTCATGAGGACGGCCCACGAGTTCAACTACACTGTGAAGGTAACACACACACACACACACACACACACACACACACACACACACACACACACAAAGGTAGCTGTACATCTAGTGTAAGATGGATGTAAAAATAGAACGTACACAAGAGCGATTAAATGAAGGTAAAGTGACAGTGGTGATATAATGTATAATACTGAGTGTCACAAAAACACAGCATGAAGTGTGAAAAATTCAGTGGCAAAATATTGTTGTGATGTCACCACAGGTGAGACAGTCCTGTTTCACCAACTGTACAGACGTTCTCTCTTAAAAGAAGGTGTCGATCATCTGTATATCAGTTACTCACCATGTGGTACTTTAAATTCATAAAGAAAACTTTGTTTTTATGCCTCCACGCTGGCGATAGACGTGACGTAGAGAGATTATGTTTTTTGGCACAAATGTCCACTTGGACTCACGATGAACTGATTAGTTGTTGGTGGTCAAGGGTAAAAGGTCAAGGTCGCTGTGACCTTGCATCCATCTCATTCTCGTGAATGCAATATCTCAAGAACAGCTTGAGGGAGAGGAGGAGGAGTCAACCTGTGAGATGAACATCTGGAGAAATACAGTGATGATGATGATGATGATGATGATGGTGTGTGCAGGTGCTGGGTCTGGGAGAGGAGTGGAAGGGGGGTGACGTGGCTCGAACGGTGGGTGGAGGTCAGAAGGTCAGATGGCTGAAGAAAGAGCTGCTCAAACACTCAGAAAAGAAGGACATGGTCATCATGTTCGTTGACAGGTAACACTCAACTGAGGGTGTGTGTGTGACTGTGTGTGTGTGTTATATAACTCCTGTCCTCTCTTCATCTCTTTATTCTCAGTTTCACCCTGTTGTTCCTTTGTTTCATCTTCAGTGTGGAATCTGACTCACCTGTCCTCACTTGTCCTCACTTGTCCTACTTACCCTCACCTGAGAACAAAGGTTTGGTTAGGGAAGATAATGGGGATAATGTGTTTTTCATCTTTATTACAAAGATCACTTTTCTCTTCAGGACATTTATCAGATCAAATTACAGAAACAGTTCCTGTTTCTTGACCCGAAAAACATCCACAGCAGGAGCAGCAACAACTTCAGCCAGTCAGAGCTTTATGTTTAGAGCCTGAGAGACAAAACCCAGGCAAAGTCAGCCCATATAGTCCTCACTGCAGCCTGTAAAGCTGATGATCATTTAGAGTTAATTGAGTAGTTTGACAGTGTTTTGATAGCTAACAACTGTATGACATGATTTAAAGAGACAGGTCAGTTTTTTTGGGGTGTGGCTGTATAAAGTACTGAGACAAGTTTTTGTTACTTATTTTTAGGTTTTTTTAAGTGTTATATTAAGCAAGTAATAAAGAAAATAATCTTCAGAATAATAGATAAATTAGTCATTAGACGGCTTATCAAAACGATCGTTAGGTGCAGCACTACTTAATAGAGACAGTTTCAAACACAGGCACATAAATCTGCTTTATTATAACTCACAAGATTTGCAGACAAGACATCTGTCTTCATCTTTCCCCACAGATGCAATATGCTAATATTATTAGCACAAGGGTATAGCATTTTACATTGTATAAATTAGCCAGCAGCTAGCAGAGCCCTGGCTTCCTATATGAAGCCAGTGACAACAGCAACATTTAACAAAGGTAACGTTACATAATTTGGCTCCATTGTTCACAGACACAACGACTGTCTTCCATTAAACACGTTTTCCGCACAAATACAACATGTTAACATTATTGGCATAAGCCAGTGACATTTTACATTGTATAAATTAGCCTCGTGGCTGCCAGACTTTCCTCTGCTCATATGAAGCCAGGATTAATCACACACAGGGCTTGTGTGGGGGCTTTATTGTCTTCACAATTTATTGTTTCTTATCTGTAAAATCAAAGTAAATAAAAGTTTCCACTGATGAAATGGTTTCAGCTCACAAAAATTAACAGGAGGTCGGCCTCATCGTGACATGTGGATAAATGTCTGGGGAGGTGCATGTCAGGTACGAGGCAGGATACACTTTTACACAGAGCCTACTCCGTAGGTGCGGCATCGATTTATAGTGTCTTTGACGAGAGCATTGATGGATATAAAATCTTCAGTTCCCCGTCAGAAATCACTGCCTGACATCAAGGTAAAGCAGTGAAAACATTCTCAATACAGCATACACTTTAACTGATACTGATTTTTTTAGGCGTGTAAAAAACGTGTTGCCGCAGAGCTACTATGACTGTACCACAGGCTGCTTCTCCAAACTGAGAGCATGCTGACTGACATCCACTGTAGGTAATACACTGACTATGGAGAAGTACACTTTAAAAAATCTGAACTATCCCTTAAAGGTGCAAACACGAATGGATAAAAAGGTAAGAAGTGCTTCGCAGCAGCTGCTGAACCTCGGATAGTTTGACTTTTCCTTCATTAGAGTTTATTTGAATCCATTTAAAGACCGTTTACTCAGCTCCAGACCATTAGAGGTGAGTGAGGAAGAAAATAAGCTTCTATTTCTGAACAGACCACAGCAGATTAGAGGCATTTGTGGAGCCTTCAGTTTCCTGCTGCAGTCTGTTATTATACTGATGACTGAGGTTTCTCCTCCTGCAGACTGTGTCACACCTACATGTCCAAAGTATACTGCAGCAAAAAAACATATGGCTTCAACTAACCACTATTTTTATTCAGCCTGATTCACAAAGAGATTCTGTTTACTGAGATATCGACACAGAAAAGGTTTGGAATTTTTGATGGAAAATGACTAAATTACAGATTAATCCATTATCAAAATAGTTGCAGGCTGGTTTCCTGAGCTTTTATGATCTAAATGACATTAACTGTATAATAGCAGAGAAATCGGAATAATATGAGATAAATAATTACTACACACTTCACCTCATATTTAAATCAGATTTACTTTACATATTTCGGAATTGTTTTTCATGTCTATTTTCTTATGCTACTTGAACGTTGCAGTTCTTGCTTTTATCTTTTATTTTCTCTGACTATGTTTATCATTAACACTTATTTGTATGCTAAAAAAGCTGCTAAACCATATTCTGATTTTCCAGACAAAGTGCAGTCAGGTTTTGATATTCTGTACACCAGAATGTTTCAGAGCTTTGTTGATTTATTTCATGACCAATGTCAGTGGTTGACCCCCCAGGGGAATGTCTGACCACTTATGCTTGTAGGTCTGTTGGGTAATTTTGCTACTCTTCAGTTTAGTGCACTGTCCATCACAGGGGTTTGGTGGGAGCTAGTGACACTGCAACCTTCTGGTCCCCCCCCCATGGTTAGCGGTTGTCGGTTGTTGAAAGCAGAACTGAAACTGATTGCCCTATTCCCTCCCTCTCTCTGTAGCTATGACGTGATCTTTGCGTCAGGTCCAGAGGAGCTGCTCTCCAAGTTTTCCCGTCTGGGTCACAAAGTGGTTTTCTCAGCTGAGGGGTTCTGCTGGCCTGACCAGAGACTGGCCTCCAAATACCCAGAGGTGCATACTGGGAAGCGCTACCTCAACTCAGGAGGTAAGACGCCGTCTGTGAGTGGTGTCCAGGTTGATTTCTTACCTTCCAGAGTCAACATTGTTTCCTGTGTCAGATAATGAAGGCTGTATGGGACCCTCCTGGGGGGTTCAGGGATGCTCAAGTCCCGTTTATACGACAACGATTTCAACTGAAACCGGTAAACTTTAGTTGCATTTTTGCATTTCAGTTCCTCTGAAAACAGAGACTTTTCGCACATGCGCATACGGTTCCAGTCACTAGGCATGCCGACCGTCACAACAATACCGAGCTCTGTTTGTGCTGCTCACCCTGTTGATTTGAAGTGAAGTGTAGATCTGTTACTGTAGCAACTCCACCTCGTCGTCCATCCAGACAAAGTTATCTGTGCATGCTTTTGCCATTGTGTCTTCTTTGTTTTTATTTGTAATCACCGCATTGTAGAGGAAGGTGCTTCAGCGCAGGCGCATTGCGTCATGTCGTGGTGTTGCTTTGCAAATTTACACTGCCACCCATTAGCCTGGCGTGCATACTACAGCGTTTCTAGTAGATTTTGCGGCTCCGGGTGAACGGGGATCGTTTCAGTAACATTGTCAAATAAACGCAGAAGTTTTTTAAAACGCAAAGGACAAACTTTTCCATTTTTAGAGAAACCTTTGTCGTCTAAACAGGGCCTCAGAGTTTAGAGTTGCCTGTGAAATCAAAGCAAACTGTAAATAAACATGGACACGAGGTAAAGGCTTCAGGGGACGTTTTTTAATGAAACAGTCTCAGATAAATTAAATACAGTCTCCTGCTACTCTGAACAGAATAAAATAGAAAGAAGATGGATAAACTTCAAGAATGGACCTCTTGAGTTAATTGTTTGCATGATCCTGTTAAAATAGATTTCAAACAAGAACTATAATAACTAGAACATTTATTCTTTTTGTAGCAGAAAGCTGAGGCCTCTGTCTTCACCATCATTGCGTCATTACCTGATGCTTAACTTACAAGCTTTGCAAACCCAGTATTTCACCATAATTACGCCGGTATTTCCCCATGATATGTGTATATATATATATATATATATATATATATACACATATATATACATATATATATATACACATAGAATAACCATAATTGCTTGGGCATTCATTATTTTTGCAGGAGAAAGCTAAGGCTGCAGTCTTCCTCATCATGATGTCATACGCTTGTAATGATGTCACTGAGCTATGATACAGGTGGTGCAAAACCATGTGAAAATGTGTGGTGGCATCAGAGGAACGAATGATGAATCTATCATAATGCCTCTGTGCTCATATTTATGAGCATATCTCAAAACACTAAATAATGTACAGATTTCAAATAACTGATGGGGTGTTGAAAATATTTTGTGTATCTTTCTATTCAATATATTTTGTGTTTTTATTCTGTAAAATTTGATGGAAAAATGTCATAGTTTTGTATTTTTAATGGCATAATATCAATACTTTTATTAATTATTATGGTTTTAGATTTTAGGAATATGAAGCATTTGAAGATACTCCAAGAAATGACATCACAATAAGCAAAAATACAAATGTTGGCACTGCAGGACCACTTCTATTGTAGAGTTCAAAGGGTTAAGATAAGTGTGTGTGTGTGTGTGTGTGTGTGTGTTCAGGGTTCATTGGCTTCGCTCCAGAACTTAGTACAATCGTCCAGCTGTGGAAGTACAAAGACAACGATGACGACCAGCTGTTCTACACCAAAATCTACCTTGACAAGACACAGAGGGTAAACTACACACACACACACACACACACACACACACACTCACACAATACACATCACTGATGACAGGAAATATGATGATGGTGATGGTGATGATGATGGTGTGACTCTTCTCTTCAGACAAAGTTCAACATGACTCTCGACCATCGCTCTAGAATCTTCCAAAATCTGAACGGAGCCGTTGGTGAGACACACACACGCGCGTGCGCACACACACACACACACACACACACACAGTAAACCATCTTCGTTCCCTCTGTGTCTGTATAAGATGAATGAACCAACCGTCTCTGTCTGACAGAGGAAGTCGTCTTGAAGTTTGAGAGGGCAAAGGTCAGAGCGAGGAACGTTGCCTACGACACACTTCCAGTCATTATCCATGGCAACGGTCCCACCAAGGTAACCAGCCAATCGTAGCCCTCCACCAACACCATGTGACGGTCCTGTCAGCAGAACAGCCTGATGATCCTGAGCAGGAGCTAAACGTTCAGTTTGCACAACAGTGATACAGACATGATGCTCTAGTTTTAAAATTTTAGGATTATAGATAAAAAGAATCAGCATGTTTTAAAGTTTTCTTCAGTATCACAGTAATCCAGTGATAGTTGTCTGTACATCCACAGGTACGCTGCAAACAGGAGCTGCTCACACATCAGCACACTTTGAATGGACACACTTGGACCACATGTTAAAAATATATGCTAAAAACATGTTTGTAAAGAGAACAGCAGCACATCCATGTAGCTGACATCACAGCAGAACATCTGATGAGCTTTACTGGGTCATAACGATTAAGCTTTACTTCATGTGTTTTAGAAATGTTTGCAGGAGTGTGAAGTGGATCAGATGACAGAAATGTCTTTCTTTGTCTCTGCAGCTGCAGTTGAATTATCTGGGTAACTACGTTCCCACAGCGTGGACCTTTGAGAACGGCTGTGGTATCTGTGATGACGACCTGCTGTTCTTCAATGACGCACCTGTATGTACACTTACCTGATAACGCTGATGTTTAAACTCTTGTTTTATTTCAGCTTCATCACAATGTTAAAAATGTGTGTGTGTGTGTTTAGGATGAGGAGATGCCTCTGGTGTACATCGCGGTGTTTATTGAACATGCGACTCCCTTCATGGAGGAGTTCTTGGACCGACTGGCGACGCTGAATTACCCGATGACGAGAATACGCCTTTTCATCCATAACAACGTACGACACAAACGGAACGAAAATCTATTTTCATTTTTTCTGATCTGTATTTATCCTGCTGTACTCTGATCTGTTGTAATCTGCCTGTGATCCAGGTCGTGTACCACGAGCGTCACATCCAGAAGTTCTGGGAGCGTCACAGAGCTCTGTTCCCTGACGCCCTGCTGGTTGGACCTGAGGAGAACCTGCAGGAGAGCAAGGCCAGAACGATGGCTGTGTGAGTGGAGAGATAAGTGTTATTCAACCTCTGAGGACACTACACCACCTTCAGAACAACAGCTTAAGTCTTCAGAACATCTGTAGACCACACACAGATGTTTGAGTGTATCTTAGAACCTGAACAGAACATGGTTGAATTTTCATAGAACATTGGAGATCTCTTCAGAACATTTTTGAACCAGAGCAGAAACAATTAGTTGATTGACAGAAAATTACTTTTTTCGACCCTCAACACAAATGTAGATGTTATAAAACTTAAACTAACATGTATACTTATGTGTTTGTGTGCAGCGAGGCGTGTAAGAAGGATCCAGAGTGTGATTACTACTTCAGTATCGACTCCGAGGTGGCCTTGACAAACCCAGACACACTGAGGATACTAATCGAGGAAAACAAGTACGTAGTCTGTGTGTACTCTACACCCCAACTAGTACACACTCACGCCCTTTTGTTTACCCAACATCCTAACAAATACACACGAATCACAAACCATGTATCCAAAAGTCTAACATGAACACAGTAGTATCATTTGTATATACCCTACATCCTAACAGGTTCACACAAGTACCCTTCTATGTACCCTACATCCTAACAGGTTCACACTAGTACCCTTCTATATACCCTTCTATATACCCTACATCCTAACAGGTTCACACTAGTACCCTTCTATACACCCTACATTCTAACAGGTTCACACTAGTACCCTTTTATACACCCTACATCCTAACAGGTTCACACTAGTACCCTTCTATACACCCTACATCCTAACAGGTTTACACTAGTACCCTTCTATACACCCTACATCCTAACAGGTACACACTACTACCCCTCTATATACCCTACATAATAACAGGTTCACACTAGTACCCTTCTATACACCCTACATCCTAACAGGTTCACACTAGTACCCTTCTATGTACCCTACATCCTAACAGGTTTACACTAGTACTCATCTATATACTCTACATCCTAACTGGTACACACTAGTACCCTTCTATATACCCTAACAGGTGCACACTAGTACCCTTCTACATACCCTACATTCTAACAGGTACACACTAGTACCCTTCTATACCACATACTACTACTACTACTACACTACTACCCTAAAACCTGCTGCTGCTACCTTTGTTTTCTGAAGGTGGTGTGGGCTGGACAGGAAGTCCTGCTTTGCAGCTGGATGATACTAATATTTCTTTCTGTAAATGAACATTTTTTGATTTAAGTTTTCTCATTACTTAGTAAAGTTTTTAACCTTTCAGAGTCACTGCTTGGTGATGTTACACTCAAACCAGACGCTCTGAGTACGTGTTTTTATGTTTTGGTTTAATGAGAGAAAATTAGTGTTAAATGTTTGTTTGAAATTCTCTGTTTCAGATCAGTTATAGCTCCCATGTTGTCCAAACACGGGAAGCTGTGGAGTAACTTCTGGGGTGCTCTGAGTCCTGAAGGCTACTACTCCAGATCTGAAGACTACATTGAAATCGTCCAAGGCAAGAGGATGTGAGTACGCACTCAGTAGTTTAGTCAAATAGTTGACTGCACCTTGGTTTATAGACGAGGCTGAAACAAGAAGTTTTCTCACAGCTCAGGTGAGGTGACATATGTTAACCTGTGTATATGTGTGTAGCGGACTGTGGAACGTACCGTACATCACTCAGGCGTACCTGATCAAAGGCAGCGTGCTGCGGTCCAAACTGTCCCAGGTGAGCCTGTACGTGGACGAGGAGATGGACCCTGACATGGTGTTCTGCAGGAGCATCAGAGACCAGGTAACACATGGCGAACACCCGCTGACCTCACAACTACAGCAGCACGTTTGTTTCTTCAGTGCATGTTTTTGAAGACAGGATGAATCTCAGAATACTTACCAAAACATTGAAGTGTAATGAGCCTTTGTTAAAGTTCATCTCTGTGTCGACAGGGAGTCTTCATGTTCGTGTCAAACCGCGATGAGTTTGGTCGTCTTGTGGCATCCACCAACTTCAACACATCCAGGCTGCACCCGGACATGTGGCAGATCTTCGATAACCCTGTGGTCAGCCTAACATACAAACACATGAACATGAACACATGTTTAAGTGAATGAAAGCACAGGCTGATTGTGTGTGTGTATCTTCAGGACTGGAAGGAGAAGTACATCCATGAGAACTACTCCAGGATCTTTGAAGATGAGAAGAGTTTTGTGGAGCAGGTAATAAAACAATATCCCAACAAGCAGCTCGATATCTGTTTCTGTCTCTGTGCTCTGTTTCAGATGAATGTGTTTTATTGACCTTTCACATCAGTACAAGTAAGTAAAGTTTTAATAATCATCTGTACCATCTGCAGTTTAATGATCTGAAATCTGTCTCTCTCAGCCCTGTCCAGATGTTTACTGGTTTCCAGCCTTCTCAGAGAAGATGTGTGATCATCTGGTGGAGACTATGGAGCACCATGGAGGATGGTCTGGAGGATCGCATAAGGTAACCTGTTAATTAACCTGTCTGACTGTGTGGGAAACAGGCGAGTAGAATGAGGTTTGAGTTTTGAAAGGTTTTTCTTGTCTGTATGTGTGTGTGTTTAGGATGAGCGTCTGGCTGGTGGTTATGAAAATGTCCCGACTGTGGATATCCACATGAACCAGATCGGATTTGAGAAGGAGTGGATGAAATTCCTCAAAGAGTACATCGTTCCTGTCACCGAAAAACTCTATCCTGGCTATTACCCCAAGGTACAGTCCAGATATTACCCCAAGGTACAGTCCAGATGTTACTCCAAGGTACAGTCCTGATGTTACCCCAAGATACAGTCCAGATATTACTCCAAGGTACAGTCCAGATATTACTCCAAGGTACAGTCCAGATGTTACTCCAAGGTACAGTCCAGATGTTACCCCAAGGTACAGTCCAGATGTTACCCCAAGGTACAGTCCAGATGTTACCCCAAGGTACAGTCCAGATATTACTCCAAGGTACAGTCCAGATGTTACTCCAAGGTACAGTCCAGATGTTACCCCAAGGTACAGTCCAGATGTTACCCCAAGGTACAGTCCAGATGTTACCCCAAGGTACAGTCCAGATGTTACCCCAAGGTACAGTCCAGATGTTACCCCAAGGTACAGTCCAGATGTTACCCCAAGGTACAGTCCAGATGTTACCCCAAGGTACAGTCCAGATGTTACCCCAAGGTACAGTCCAGATGTTACCCCAAGGTACAGTCCAGATGTTACCCCAAGGTACAGTCCAGATGTTACCCCAAGGTACAGTCCAGATGTTACCCCAAGGTACAGTCCAGATGTTACCCCAAGGTACAGTCCAGATGTTACCCCAAGGTACAGTCCAGATGTTACCCCAAGGTACAGTCCAGATGTTACCCCAAGGTACAGTCCAGATGTTACCCCAAGGTACAGTCCAGATGTTACCCCAAGGTACAGTCCAGATGTTACCCCAAGGTACAGTCCAGATGTTACTCCAAGGTACAGTCCAGATGTTACCCCAAGGTACAGTCCAGATGTTACCCCAAGGTACAGTCCAGATGTTACCCCAAGGTACAGTCCAGATGTTACCCCAAGGTACAGTCCAGATGTTACCCCAAGGTACAGTCCAGATGTTACCCCAAGGTACAGTCCAGATGTTACCCCAAGGTACAGTCCAGATGTTACCCCAAGGTACAGTCCAGATGTTACCCCAAGGTACAGTCCAGATGTTACCCCAAGGTACAGTCCAGATGTTACCCCAAGGTACAGTCCAGATGTTACCCCAAGGTACAGTCCAGATGTTACCCCAAGGTACAGTCCAGATGTTACCCCAAGGTACAGTCCAGATGTTACCCCAAGGTACAGTCCAGATGTTACCCCAAGGTAGAGTCCAGATATTACCCCAAGGTACAGTCCAGATGTTACCCCAAGGTACAGTCCAGATGTTACCCCAAGGTACAGTCCAGATGTTACCCCAAGGTACAGTCCAGATGTTACCCCAAGGTACAGTCCAGATGTTACCCCAAGGTACAGTCCAGATGTTACCCCAAGGTACAGTCCAGATGTTACCCCAAGGTACAGTCCAGATGTTACCCCAAGGTACAGTCCAGATGTTACCCCAAGGTACAGTCCAGATGTTACCCCAAGGTACAGTCCAGATGTTACCCCAAGGTACAGTCCAGATGTTACCCCAAGGTACAGTCCAGATGTTACCCCAAGGTACAGTCCAGATGTTACCCCAAGGTACAGTCCAGATGTTACCCCAAGGTACAGTCCAGATGTTACCCCAAGGTACAGTCCAGATGTTACCCCAAGGTACAGTCCAGATGTTACCCCAAGGTACAGTCCAGATGTTACCCCAAGGTACAGTCCAGATGTTACCCCAAGGTACAGTCCAGATGTTACCCCAAGGTACAGTCCAGATGTTACCCCAAGGTACAGTCCAGATATTACCCCAAGGTACAGTCCAGATGTTACTCCAAGGTAGAGTCCAGATGTTACTCCAAGGTAGAGTCCAGATATTACCCCAAGGTACAGTCCAGATGTTACTCCAAGGTACAGTCCAGATATTACCCCAAGGTACAGTCCAGATGTTACTCCAAGGTAGAGTCCAGATATTACTCCAAGGTACAGTCCAGATGTTACCCCAAGGTAAAGTTTAGTTACAATAAAGTTAAATAAAGTACAATTGTAATAAAGTTAAATAAAATACAGTTGTAATAAAGTTAAATAAAGTTCTGTTATAATAAAGTTAAATAAAGTTCTGTTATAATGAAGTTAAATAGAGTAGTTTTTAATTAAATAAATCAAAGGTGAGCCACTGGTGCTTATGAAACACCTGTCTGTTACATGAATGTTTTTGCTGTGAAGTCTCTGGTCAGCAGTTAGCAGAAAGTTCAGTGACACACAGTGTCACACAGTGAAGTGATAATATGGTGTTTAGTCCTGATCTACAGTCCCATCATGTGTGTGTGTGCAGGCCCAGGCCATTATGAACTTTGTGGTGCGTTACCGTCCTGACGAGCAGCCCGCTCTGCGGCCGCATCACGACTCCTCCACCTTCACCATCAACATTGCCCTGAACAACAAGGGCATTGACTACGAGGTAAACACACACACACACACACACACACAGAAACTCACTTGTGATCAGATAAAACCTTCCAGCATTTGATCATTCAGGAGGAAGTTACAACTCAGACTCTGAATGAACAGGAAACCAGAGCAGAGACTTTTTTTTAATCAATGATGCACTGATCATTGTTTTTGTACTTTAATGCTCATTTTCACCTCCTGATGTGTTTCATTCTCTAAAAGTGATTATGTCATCACGTTATTCACTAAGTCAATCAGTAAGGGATGTTTTAACCAATGAAAGTGATGGTCAGCGCCGCCTCAATATGAGACTGTGTGTGTGTGTGTGTCAGGGTGGAGGCTGCAGGTTCCTGCGTTACGACTGTAAGGTGGAGTCTCCGAGGAAGGGCTGGTCCTTCATGCACCCCGGCCGCCTGACGCACTACCATGAGGGTCTACCCACCACCAAAGGGACCAGATACATCATGGTGTCCTTCGTGGACCCCTAGGAGACACACCTACAGGACGTGTGTGTATGTGTGTTTGTTTGTTTGTGTGTGTGTGTGTGTGTGTGTGTTTAAAGAGCCAATCAGACACACCAACCACTTCAACTGGTCTACTGTGCGTGTGTGTGTGTCTGTGTGTGTGAGAGTGAGTGTGTGTGAGAGTGAGTGTGTGTCAACCTCATCATCCCTGATAGAAACGGACAGGACGGAGGAGTAGCCGTGATGACCTTGAATGCATCGTCTCCAAACATTTCCCACCCTGACTTTAATTTTCCCTGCAGATTGTATTATTTCTGATTGGGTGATGAGATCACATGGTGCAGGTGTAACAGATTTTCATAGAGGTACCTGAACGCATCATTGCAGAACATTTCAAAATAAGAGTCACTCTATTTATCTTCATTTGGTAAGTTCAGATGAGTATTTCAAAGTAAGAGTCGCTTGTCCAAGTTTAAATCACGTAACACCGTGCTGCCTTATTTTTTTTTTACACTACCTGAAACTATGCAATCAGAACACACTCCACCTGTGTGTGTGTGTGTGTGTGTGTGTGTGTGTGTGTGTGTGTGTGTTCATGTGTGTGTGTGCGTGCGTGCGTGCGTGTGTTAGCATCACCTCGCTGCTGTTACACTCCATCAAACTCCAAAAACGACGTTGTTGCAGACTAAAGTTCCTGATTGTTCCACAGCAGCTTTGAGTAACATCAACCACAAAAAGGCGCCTCTCGCTCGCCACTTGGGTGATGCTGGGGTTACCGTGGCAACCAGCAGTGTAGCTAGGCATGATGAGAACCACGGGTTACTCTGATGTGTCAGAGACATCAGGAGAGACATAAGAGCAAAATTAAGACAGAATATTTAAAAAAGTATTTTAATGTTGACAAGTCTGAGGAGTAAAAGTGTGTGAACGGAGTGTTAGAGATATTTTTAAACTGAGAAACACTAAAGGCCTTTTATATTTTCATGTTTTATTCTTCAGTGTGTTTTAAATTCATTTTGTTCTTTGGATCTTTGTTTCCATCATGTAGTTGAGTATTGTCTCGTTGGCGTGAAGCCGTCGTCTCCTCTCAGTGTTTATTTCCTTTTGTTATGTTTTGATGCTTTTGAGGAGCAGCTCCACAAAAACTGGACTTACGAAGTTTCCACCTGATGCGGCCTTCATTTTCTCTCCATGCGTGCCTGTCGATACGAGGATTCAACTGTCTCTGGCTTTGTACAAACTGCATTAAATTATTTGTTAGTGACTGAGCAAATAAAGTTTTGAGATTTGAATAAATAATTTTACTGTCACAGCGGGGTGTGTTTGTTTTCTGTGTCAGGGGAAAGTGAAGCTGTTGCAGAGTTTAGACATTTGAAAAATAAAAGTTTTCTGTCAACTGTTTTCTGGAGCTGCTGCAAAGTTTAAAATACAAAACATTCGATGACTAATTTTCATTATGTTGATTTTTTTTTTTTTTCATTGTCCAGGGTTCCCATGGTCATGGAAAACCTGGAAAAGTAATGGAATTTCACAGTCATGTTTTCCAGGGCTGGAAAAGACATGGGAATCGCACAGTAATTAATTTGATTTAGGAAAAGTAGTGGAATTATTAAAATAATAATCAATTTTTGAAAAAGTCATGCAGATAGTAAATTAATTACACATTTTTGGAAAAGTCATTTGGAATTATAAATCATTGAATTTTTGTTACAAACAGTGGGAAGATACCAGATAAAACTATGACATAAATATTAACAATTTTCATGCATCTGATAAATAACCACAAATTAAATAGTCTCTACTGGTTTGATTTTGGCGTTAAATTTTGTTGTATGTAGGGTTGTGTGCAATAAGTTGACAAGTCGATTAAATGTTGCTTCCTTCGCAAGTCAGCACCAGAAATAATAGTCAAGCAGGGAGAATTTCATTATTATTTTTGCGATTGTGTGTTAAAATGCAGCTGCAAATTTCAGACTCGTATCTGAAAGATTAATTTCCCTAAAGCTTTTTTGTTTCCAATAAATTGTGTATGTTAACTTTTATTTAGTGAGCTGTTTCCATGGTTTTTAGGACAATGTGTCACATGTTTCAGCAGCGTTAAAAATACAGTTTGGTTATTGAAAAATTGGCTCTCATGATATAGTCAGTATTTTCTGGGACAATGTTTAACACTACAGATGAAATTGTGCTCCATCTTTTTCTTAGACTAAGCTAGTCATAATTTAAGTTTAAAGTTTAAATGTGAAGAAGATAAGTCCCAAGGAACATCCCTACTTTTATGTTTATTAAAAAAGTTTTGATCTGAACTGGTGAACGCTGCAGAGACGCTGCCTGAAGTCCATTTAACAGTTTATTTTGAAGCTTTTTAATCACACCACATGGTCTGAGACTTACATCTAATTATTTTAGTCCCTCAGTCCTTTTTTTCATCTAATTTATGATAAAAAATTTTTAATCTAATTTACAATAATTTTTTTATTATTATTTTTTTAGATGAGCAGAAGCTGGCCCTTGTTGTAGTTCTGACTTTTAACTCTTGTGTTAGTCTGTTCACACTCTGTTGCAGTGGCAGAGTTCAGAGTATTTTGTGCACAAAGACACCGTGTTCACCAACGCTACACAATCTTTTTTACCTTAAAATTATTTGTATTAACTAATAATAATGGCAACTGATCTATATGGGTCCTTTGTCACGTTCAAAGCAGACTTCAAATGGTTTTATAAACCCGTTGAATTCAGAAACAGTTGAACTGTCCCCACCAGGCGGCGACAAAGACACAGAAACGCGGTCAACTGATAGCAGTGATGTCCCTCGTGGCTCTACGTAGCAAAGAAAATCACAACAACACAGCTGTTGCGTCATTTTAGCTTTAGTACGTCATAAAAATAATATGGTTAAGGTATTGTTTCCCTTAATGTTGTTGTGTAAGTGTCTCTGTTTGTAAATGTGAATCTGTGGAGCTGTCGTAAAGAAATACGCGCTTCGACTGATTTGGTACCTCTGCGGCTGCCGTAGAGAGGAAGTGACAGAAATCATGGTGCTGGAGAAGAAAGGTTCCGGTGAGTTCTGTTTAATTTGAGACAAATTCTACATTAAAAAGTCGCTGAGCTGCTTCACACATTGAAGTATGTGATAAATCAAAGTGTTGAAGGTGTTAATGCGCGTTAACGTTTCCTCTGTTCGCTTCTTTGTCTGTTTTCATACATGTTAGCTGCGGCTAACAGAGGCTAACTCACAAAACGTAAACTTGAAACGGCACTGTGGTTTTCTGAACGATCGATGCTATATTTGTTGTTGCCGTTACGGATTAATATTTTTTATGGAAACATGATAAATTCGGCGTGTGTATTATTCCTATAAGTGACACCAGAGTGAGTCAAATCCGCATCTGCGGAACCCGATCTCTGCGGTTTGTATCAGCGGGATAAGTGGAGGATGTCTGGGTATTTTATTGAAATAAATAAAGTCTTAAGGGTCCATCATCCGCTGAAATTAAGTTAAGTTCATAACAAGTCGTAAATGATTAAGAGACATTTTCAAAGGTTTCAGTTAACAACTAAAATGTGAAGCAATATAAGAGTACCAGTTGTTATAACGCAGTTTGGTTCTGAGACAAGTGGTTATTTGTCTAAATTGTCATGACACGAAGATGAGAGGTAAAGATTAGATGTAAAGTACAGTTTTTAAAATATATTTCCATTCTTCTTATATTGTGTCTCTGTGTGAGACGAAGATGAAGATATTTATTTTTATTTTATGTATTAGGCTCCAGAGTCAGCTGAATGCTACTTTGGTTCATAACAAGTCCTCAACTAATATATGACGCTTTATAAGGTTTCAGCCTGAATGTTGGGGAACATTAAATTACCAGTTTTTATAATTGAGTTTGGTTTATATTTAAGGTTACATTAAAACTGCAGTGGAGTCATTAACAGCACAGTTATGTAAACTGTGTGTGTGTGTGTGTGTGTGTGTGTGTGTGTGTGTGTGTGTGTGTGTGTCAGCTCGGGTGGAGGCCGGGCAGCGCAGAGTTTTGGATGAAGCCACCCGACAGAGGAGACTGACCAGGCAGCTGGAGGCTCTGGAGAAAGACAACTTCCAGGTGTGTCAGTGTGAATCTGCTGCCTCTGTGGAAAAAGACCTTTAATTCATAATAAGTTGTGTGTGTTGTTGTTGTTACGAGGACGATGGTCTGTGTTTTGTTGTGTACATTAAATTTGTTAGAAAATACTTGTTGATAACACGTGAGAAGACTGAAGTGTGGAGTCAGACTGTTCAACTGTTTGTCATCAAAAGTCTGCTTGATGACACACTGGTGTCATCCTCATCATAACTCCTCCCCTACTGTATGAATACTACGTTACTACTGGCGTCAGAGTATCAGTGTTGTTCCTTTCGACCACTGTGTGTGAGCAGTGAGGTTGTGAAGTCCCACAAGCTCCTCGAGCTCTCTGAGCTCTTTCAGTCTAATCCATACACAAATAAACGTCTCCGTTACATGTCACAGTCGTATTAACACAAACTTAACAGCCGTCACTAACAGACCATTAGTCTTCTGACACACCAAGCCGACGGTCGGCCGTCGACCAAAGTCGGGCTGTCGGTGAGTGTCTGGCTGTTCAGGTTTTATTTTCTCGCCCCTGTAGTGAGTGAATCTGCCTGTAGTGAAACCGGGGCTAACCGGTGCTTCCTCCTCAGGCTCCACTTCACTCAGCTGCCCCACAGACCCGCTGCTTCTTCACACTTTAACCTGAATAACAAACCGGAGCTAGCTGGGAGCTGCTAGCGGAGCGTTAGCCGCAGCATGACCGGAGGGAAGCACAGCCAGTTAGCCTCCACTAGTCTTTGAGCTAGTCCCGGCTCTCCGTTTGGATCCAACCGGAGCACCGAGCCCTGGTTTGTTATTCAGGTTAAAGTGGGAAGAAGCAGCTGGTTTATCGGGCAGCTGAGTGAAGTGGAGCCTGCGGAGGAAACACCGGGACCGTCTGGATGTAATAGTCCGTGGAGGTGCTGCTGTGCTCGGCTGCACAGATAGGAAACCCTTCGGCTGACAGGATGTACCACTCTCTCACTCCGCTCTCTGGCGATTGTTTAATAATTTACATTTGGCTGGTTGGTTAATGACACACTTTTCTTTGGTGTGACAAACTGTTTTTAATTACACGTTTAGTTTTGCTTTAGCGGGACTTTGAAGACAGTTTTTCGGTGGTCATGTTGTTTTGTGTTTCCAGGACGACCCTCTGTCCTCCCTCCCTCCCCCAGGTCCTACTGCCCGCCTGCCTGCCTTCAGTGAGACAGAAGAACCAGGTGAGACAATGTCCTCACTTTGCAAAAATGTCCTCACATTCCAAGAGTGAACTGGACTTTGAGATATGTCCTCACTTACCAGAAATGATTTCACTTTGAAAAAATGTCCTCACTTTCCAAAAAACGTCCTGGAATCCTAGAAATGTCTTTACTTAGCAAAAATGTCCTCATTTTGTAAAATGTCCTCGTGTTCCAGAAATGTTGTCACTTCGTAAAAATATTTTTACTTTTCACAAATGTCCTGATTTTCCAAAATTGTCCTCGCTTTGCAAAAATGTCATCACATTGCAAAAATGTCCTTATGCTCCAAAAATGTCCTCATGTTCCAGAAATGTTGTCACTTTGTAAAAATATTTTTACTTTTCAGAAATGTCCCGACTTTCCAAAGTTGTCCCTAATTTGCAAAAATTTCCTAGAATTCCAGAAATGTCCTTGCTTTGCAAAAATGTCTTCACTTTTCAAACATGTCCTACCTTCCAAACTTGTCCTCACCTTCCACAAATGTCTTCACTTTCCAAAAATGTCCTAGCTTCCAAACATGTCCCAACATTCCAAAATCGTCCTTAATTTACAAAAATATCCTAGAATTCCAGAAATGTCCTCACGTTGCAAAATTGTCCTCACGTTGCAAAAATGTCCTTATGCTCCAGAAATGTCCTTACTTTGTAAAAATATTTTTACTTTTCAGAAATGTCCCAACTTTCCAAAGTTGTCTCTAATTTGCAAAAATTTCTTAGAATTCCAGAAATGTCCTCGCTTTGCAAAAATGTCTTCGCTCTCTAAAAATGTCCTCATGTTGCAAAATTTGTCCTTATTTTGCAAAAATGTTATCACTAAAAACAGGCGTTTCTGTCTTGTCTATATTGTCCCTTCGTGTCCTCCCTTGGGGGACAGATGATTACTGACGTTATACAACAGTTATAAGTTCTTCTCCTTCTGTCTCTGTGTGTCCAGAGAAGAAGAAGAGGAAGACGAGGGGCGATCACTTTAAGCAGCGTTTCAGGAAGAACTTCACCACGTTGCTGGAGGAAGAGGTGGGTCACACAGCTTCACTCTTTTCCTGCTCTCTCATTGGCTGAGGGTGTGTTGTCAGCTGACTCCTGCTCCGTCCTCTGATTGGTAGAACCTGTCGGAGAGGCCGGAGCCGAACTACCTGTCTGCAGCGGCCCCTCCCTCATCTCTGCCCCCCCGTCACTTCTGCTGTGTCTGTGGTTTTCCCTCTCACTACACCTGTACCACCTGCGGGGGGCGCTACTGCAGCAGCAAGTGTCTATGTACTCACAGAGAGACCAGGTACACACACACGTTTGTCTTTCTGTACTTCTGAGGACCATTGTTAATATCATACATTACTGAGACCTCAGCCTGAACTCAAGCTAAATCTAATCTGAAGCTGAAAACCAAGTCTGAACATTTAGACGTGAGGTCCCTGAGAACCGGTGGCCAGTGATGGACAGACCAATTCTATTCACAGTATCGACTCCTTCGAGTTGATTCATGAAAAATTATTGAACCATTTGAGTTTTGATACTTTTTGAAAAAATGGTGTCAGGTCTGTGGACATGTCATGCTGCCCGCCCCACACCCAACTTCTCTTCAATGCATCACCAGTCATCATTTAAAAATAAATCTTTATTGTTGGTTCTTGAAAAGTCATGGAAAAGTTTATCAATTTTGTTGTTGAAAATGTGCGTGAACCCTGCAGCACATACCTGACACTGAGAAGAGTTGTTCAGAAAGATTTGTTCGTTCATTTTGGCCCACCACCACCACCAGCAGCCAAAATGTCCTCACTCTTCACTTTGCAGAAATGTCCCTTCTTTCATTGTCCAAATCTTAAATCTGGTCCTCACAGTGACAGACGTACACGTACACGGACTCTGATGTGTGTGTGAGTGTGGAAGATAAACTTTGGTCTCAGAATGTGAATCTGTCTGTTTGTTTGAAGGTAAAGTGAAGCTTTGTGCTTTTATTGGCAGTGTATCGTTGTAAAGCAGCGCTGTCTCTGTGGACTTTGGGCTCCATTTATGTGTATGTCTCACCACATAGTGTCCACTTTATTAGGTACACCTGTGCAGAATAATGCAATCCATAAAGCTGATCTATATCCAGTTCGTAATGTTGAGTGTTTGTTGACACTGTTCTGTTGGTTTTTGTTTTATCACTGAGGTCATCGTTAAACTGAACTGTATTATATTCAGTGGGGTTTCTAATGTTCTGACCTCTCTCTTTATCCTCTGTGTGTTCACAGGTGTTTGAAGTGGACGCTCTAACTGCTGCCTCGTCACCATGGTGATGGTGATGATGGTGATGATGATGATGGGATGGTGTTACCTGTTCTCGGTGGTGTACAGTTCAAAACACCTGTGAACTGTCTCATTGTCCTGACTTATGGGCTTCTGATAGAGCAGATGGACACTCACATACAGAGGACATATGACGCCAGCAGCTGATTAGCTTAGCTTAGCACAAAAACTGGAAACAGGTGGGAACAGCTAGCTTGGCTCAAAAGAAATCCACCTCCCAGCTCCTCCATGTTTTATCTGGTTGTTTCATCTGAAGACAAACTGAAATGTAATGAGCCGTTTTACTGATTTAATAAATAAGGTCAAATGTCTTAATTAGTTCAGTGAAAGGAGCAAGCTACAAAGCTAACATGAGATCAAATGCTAATATGAGCAGCTGTAGGAGTGTTTGACGATGTCTGGTTATTTCAGAGTTGTGTGTTTGTTTTGTCCACACCTGTATCTGCACACCAGACAGTAAGACAAGCCAGATAATGTACCATGTTACTGTTGTAAATAATGAATACACTTGGTTTTGTTTCATTTTTTATTAAAGAAAAAGAGACTTGGGACATGTCTGGTTAATTTTTCTGACAAATGTTATAAACGTTTTCTCAGCGTTCCATAAAGTTAGTGTTGGCCTTCTGTAACATTTCAGACCACGAAGAGACACAAAACAACTACAGAGATTCAAAACCATGACAGAGACACAAAACTGTGGCAAAGACACAAAACTACTACAAAGAGATGCAAATTTATTATAAAGAGACAAAACTACGACAAAGAGAAAAAACTACAAAGAGATGCAAAACTATGACAAAGACACAAAACTACTACAAAGAGATGCAAAACTATGACAAAGAGATGCAAAAATACTACAAAGAGATGCAAACTTATTATGTAGAGACAAAACTATGACAAAGAGATGCAAACTTTTAAAGAGACAAAACTATGACAAAGAGATGCAAAAATACTACAAAGAGATGCAAACTTATTATGTAGAGACAAAACTACGACAAAGAGATGCAAACTTTTAAAGAGACAAAACTATGACAAAGAGATGCAAAAATACTACAAAGAGATGCAAACTTATAAAAAGACAAAAGTACGACAAAGAGATGCAAACTTATTATAAAGAGATAAAACTACTACAAAGAGATGCAAAAATACAAAGAGATGCAAACTTATAAAGAGACACAATTACGACAAAGAGACAAAACTACGACAAAGAGATGCAAACTTATTATAAAGAGACAAAACTATGACAGAGATGCAAAAATACTACAAAGAGATGCGAAATTATAAAAAGACAAAAGTACGACAAAGAGATGCAAACTTATTATAAAGAGACAAAACTACTACAAAGAGATGCAAACTTATAAAGAGACAAAACTACGACAAAGACAAAACTACGACAAAGAAATGCAAACTTATTATAAAGAGACAAAACTACGACAAAGAGATGCAAAAATACTACAAAGAGATGCAAACTTATTATAAAAAGACAAAACTACGACAAAGAAATGCAAACTTATTATAAAGAGACAAAACTACTACAAAGAGATGCAAACTTATAAAGAGACAAAACTACGACAAAGACAAAACTACGACAAAGAAATGCAAACTTATTATAAAGAGACAAAACTATGACAAAGAGATGCAAACTTATAAAAAGACAAAACTACGACAAAGAAATGCAAACTTATTATAAAGAGACAAAACTACTACAAAGAGATGCAAACTTATAAAGAGACAAAACTACGACAAAGACAAAACTACGACAAAGAAATGCAAACTTATTATAAAGAGACAAAACTATGACAAAGAGATGCAAACTTATTATAAAGAGATAAAACTACGACAAAGAGACACAATCAGAGCTGTATCTGGTCTCTAGGACGAAACACTTATCAGTTTTGTTTTTGCGTAAAACACAATCACCAATTCATCACACTCTGATTAAAATGTGTCATACAGGAAATAGAACAGAGACAACAAACTAAAGTAAAATATTTGTATCTTAAGTGATTTTTGTTGATTGTGCTCGATCATCCTTGATGATGCTCGTGGTCACTGAAGTTCTTCACACCAGAAAGAAACATTTATCTGCAGTGATTTTACAGTTAAACTTCAGGTTTAAATAATAACCAGATATTTATGATCATGATGTTTATGATGTTTGATGCTAAATTATTGATCATATCAGCTTCCAGGAAGGAGATGAATGAATGAATGCATGAATGAATGAATGAATGAATGAATGAATGAATGAATGAATGAATGGAGGGTAAAAGTCCAGCTGACTCTTTCTTTCTTTCCTTCCTGGTATCCATGGCAACAGTGTCATTAAAAACATGTCAATAATTAATGTGGACTTTTGAGTCGTGTGTGTTTTGCATGAAGTTTTCTCTGAAAGCAAACACACACACACACACACACACACACATGCAGAGTTGTGGCGTGTGTGGTAAAGTGAGGTAGAGCTGCACAGACTTTGTCCCGGCTGCAGGAAGTCCCCATTCAGCTGCTGTGACGAGCCGGGCGGAGGAGCTGCAGCTTCACACCAGTCAGTGAGTATTAACTGGGAGAACTGGGAGAACTGGGAGTTTCCTTTGACAGCAGGACAGTTAATGTTTCCTCTGAGGGGTCCAAACACACAAGTGAAAAAGACGAGTTGGTAGTTTCACACTCAGAGAGACAGGTCACACTGGATTCAGTGATCAGGCTCCACCTCGCCTCGTCTTCACTCTCTGATCGACAGTATCATTGGTACTAAGAACGTTATTATTTACTCTGGACGTTCCTCTGCTGTCCTCACATTAACCTCAGAACATTTATTTGAGTACGAAAAGGTTCTGTATATGAGTTTTTACATGTTTTAACAAGTCTTTATTGCCAGCTGATGAACAGGTTGTAACGTGACGTAAACTCCGAGACCTTTCCTGACTTCCTCAGTTGCCTCCCACAGCCTGTGGATAGGTTTCTATTCAAAGGACTTGGGGTAAATACTCCAGGAAAATCCAATGGATGTGACGTTATGCCCATTCCTGAGTTTCTTAATTGTCTTAAGCCCCACGACATTGTTGACAGTGTGCAACAGTAGCTAATGTTAGCTTGTCTGGTAATGGCAGTATCTACAGAGTCCACACATGCTGTGGGTCTGTTAAGTTTTGCAGCGGTGGCCCAGTGGAGACGAACCTTCACTTAGTGCTGGCTGAAATCAAGCTGCTAAAGCTGCTGACTGAAGGTGTTTGAAGAGCTGCCTTGCAATGTAATCTCTGAGTGGCGAGGAGTAAGGCAAGGAGGCCCCAAAGCTGTGCGCTAGCTAATTTTATCCATCTCAGTGCCCCAAATAATAAATCCAATGCCCCTGGTCCTGAAGAAAATCCTAGAGTGAAAAGTGACATGTGAAATATATTGTGACACTGTGGTTGTAGATAGGAAATATTGGCTCATGTTAGCCTGCTTGTAAACACAAACAAATTGCTAACAAGCTAACATAACACAAAATACTTGCAGTATTCACATGGAACTAGTGAACACATGTTAACGACATGGGAAGTCGCCTACATGAAGTCATGAACTTGGAGCTTTCAGAAAATTTCCACTTATGAGGTAAACGTAAATGTACCAGTAAATTAAGAGCCTCACCTTCCAGCTCAGTCCGGCGCATCGCCCACATCCCTGCTGATGCAAGCCAAAGGCCTGATTATCTCGCGCTCTGTTTTATCTTCACTCGTGAACAAGACCTCAAGATACTTTAACTCCTTTGCTTGAGGCAGTAACTCTCTCCCAACCTGGAGGGAACAATCCATCGTTTTCCAGCAGAAAACCATGGCCTCAGATTTGGAGGTTCTGACTCTCATCTCGACCGCTTCACATTTGGCTGCAAACCGCCCCAGTGCGTGCTCCACAACGGGCACAATCGACTGTCCAACCACAACCTTTGGCAGCAGCCTCCACGGTGATGGTTTTCAACATGGACCACTTGGATTCCATGTCCTCAACCTCCTCTGAGATGCACGAGGCGGGAGTTGAAGACCTCATGGACAGGGGGCCTCAGCCAAATGTTCCCATTTCACCCTTACAACAGGGTAGATGGATTTACCAGGTCTGTCCGGCAGCCTCCCCTGCCATCTGATCCAACTCCCCACCAGGTGGTGATCAGTTGACAGCTCTGCTCCTCTCTTCATCAAAGTGTCCATGACACACAGCCGCAGATCTGATGATACAACCACAAAGTCGACCATTGACCATCGTCACTGTGCTCGAACATGTTGTTTGTTATGGCTAGTCCATAGCACAGACATCCAATAAAAAATACCACTCGGGTTCAGATCAGGCAGGCTGTTCCTTCTAATCTCCCCCCTCCAGCTTTCTCCATCATTGCCCACAAGAGCATTGAAATCCTCCAGAAGATCTAGTCTCTGGTTGGTACCCTTTCGAGAACAACTTTCAGAGACTACAGGAAGGCCAGGTACTCTGAACTACTGTTTGGTACATGAGCACAAACAGCAGCTAGAGACTTCCTCTCAGCGAATCCAACACAGCAGCACTCAACCAAGGGCTCATGAGTATCCCCACACCCACCCGGCACCTCTCACCCTGGGCAACTCCAGAGAAGGCGAGAGTCCAGCCCCTCTCCAGGAGTTTGGCTCCAGAAGGTGAACCCACCTTTATCTAGTTGGGACCACTTCACCTCCTGCACCAGTTCCTGTTGCTTCACCGCCAGAGAGGTGACGTTCCATGAGCTAGTCTGCGCTGCCAGAGGTCAGCATGCCTGGGTCCCTGCCTGCGCACCCGGCCCCAATGCCAGTCCCTGCAGGTGGTGGGCCAGGTTATTATTTTACCTAGAGGACATCTTTTACAATATTCATTAAATCTTACCTTATCAATAATAATGATCTGAGGTGCTCCATAAACACAGATCTACAGTTACTAACAGATGAAATCTCTTTATAGCTCCAACCACTGTAGACACTCATCATGAAGTCTTCATCACCACCTTCGTCTCCATCAATAACTTCTACCTCAGTGACGGCTGCACCAGACACTCAGCTCCTCTCCTCTTCATCATCTCCTCCTCCTCTTCCTCCTCTGTCTCTGAGAAGTCCACAGCTGCAAGCAGAGTTTCTACAAGGTAAAAAATACATCTTTCTCTCTGTCTCCTGTCCCCTCTTTTTACAGGGATGGATAACTGAAAGGGACAAGCAGGCAAAGAGAGACTCAAAACAACCACAAAAAGACATAAGACGACCACAGAGAAACAAAAACCACCCCACGTGATGCAAGACAACTGAAAAGAAACTTGACACAACCACAAAGAGACACAAAACAACTACGAGGAGATATAACATGAGCGCAAAACACAAAAATGACCACATAGAAGATTCAATTCAATTCAATTCAATTTTATTTATAAAGCCCAATATCACAAATCACAATTTGCCTCACAGGGCTTTACAGCATACGACATCCCTCTGTCCTTAAGACCCTCACAGCGGATAAGGAAAAACTCCCCAAAAAAAAACCCTTTAACGGGGAAAAAAAACGGTAGAAACCTCAGGAAGAGCAACTGAGGAGGGATCCCTCTTCCAGGACGGACAGACGTGCAATAGATGTCGTACAGAACAGATCAGCATAATAAATTAACAGTAATCCATATGACACAATGAGACAGAGAGAGAGAGAGAGAGAGAGAGAGAAAGAGAGAGAGAGAGAGAGAGAGAGAGAGAGAGAGAGAGAGAGAGAGATGCAGGTAATGACAGTAGCTTACAACAACATTAATGAAAGTAATAATATTATAGTTATAGTTCTGGCTACTGTGGTACAATATGTTGAAAGTATGTATTAATATCAGACAGTATACTTGTGTGACAATAGTCATATGTGTATAATAACAGTAGAAGTATGACTAATGACTAATGATGGCAGCAGCAGCAGGAGGCATCTGGCAGGACCACGGCAGCAGCACAACCACACACGTCACACTGTCCAGGCACCGCTGCGGTATGAGTTATTCTGAGAGACAGTGGAGCACAAAGGCTCCGGAGAAGAAGCCGAGTTAGTGACATCCAGAATGGCCGAGTTAGCAAGATGCAGTAATAGGATGAGAGTGAGAGAGAGAGAGAGAGAGAGAGAGAGAGAGAGAGAGAGAGAGAGGGAGAGAGAGGGAGCCCGGTGTATTATAGGGGGTCCTCCGGCAGACTAGGCCTAAGTCAGCCTAACTAGGGGCTGGTACAGGGCAAGCCTGAGCCAGCCCTAACTATAAGCTTTATCAAAGAGGAAAGTCTTAAGTCTAGTCTTAAATGTGGAGACGGTGTCTGCCTCCCGGACCGTAACAGGAAGATGATTCCACAGGAGAGGAGCCTGATAGCTGAAGGCTCTGGCTCCTGATCTACTTTTGGAGACTTTAGGGACCACGAGTAACCCTGCGTTCTCAGAGCGCAGTGTTCTGGTGGGATAATATGGCACTATGAGCTCTCTAAGATATGACGGAGCTTGACCATTTAGAGCTTTATAAGTTAACAGTAGGATTTTAAATTCAATTCTGGATTTTACAGGGAGCCAGTGCAGAGAAGCTAAAACAGGAGAAATATGATCTCGTTTCTTAGTTCCTGTTAGTACACGTGCTGCTGCATTCTGAATTAGCTGGAGAGTTTTTAAGGACTTACTAGAGCTACCTGATAATAGAGAGTTACAGTAATCCAGCCTAGAGGTAACAAAAGCATGGACCAATTTTTCTGCATCTTTTCGGGTCAGGATAGGCCTAATTTTCACAATATTACGCAGATGAAAAAATGCAGTCCGTGAGGTTTGTTTTAAATGAGAATTAAATGACAAATCTTGATCAAATATTACTCCGAGGTTTCTTACGGTAGTGGTAGAGGCCAGAGCAATGCCATCTAGAGAAACTATGTCATCAGATAAACACAACTACAGCCATAACCAACCAACCAACCATAAAGAGAAACAAAACGACCCAAAAGAGTCTCTGCACAACCACAAAAATACACAAAACAACTACAGAGACATCAAGTGACCACAAAAAGCTCATTGTCTCCGTCTTCCTCTCATCCGTCTCATCTTTGTCTTTTTGCTTCCAGAGCGTCTGAACAGATTTCAGTCTGGCAGTGACCCCAGTGAATCCAGTGTCGTCTCCTCTGCGGCCTCCCCCCCCCCTCCTCTACACTCCCCCTTCAGTCCATCCCCCTTCGCCTCCCCCTGCAGCTCCTCATCCTCCTCCTGCTCATCTTCTCCTTGCAACAACAGACAAGGTGAGCTGGATGTCACTTTATAGAACATGAAAGGTGAAGCTGATGTTTAACAGCTCACTTTACAGTAAACAGCGCCCTCTGATGGAGAGGATTGATCCTAAACATAAAATTCAGACTGGACTTTGAAGCATTACATTTTAATTTGATATCACAGTATTTGTCGAGTTTTTTTTTATCACAGTTTTTACAACATTATGATTTTCTACAGAACTTTGAGTTTGTTGTCTGTTTTGTTTGTGTGCAGCACGTCTGTCCCTGTCCAGCCCAGAGCTTCTGTCAGAGCTCAAAGAGGCGAGAACACGCAGCCTCCGACATGTCCCCACCAACAAAGGAATGACCACTGTCTTCAGTGGACGAGGAAGAGGAGGGGTAAAGGTGAGCAGAGGATATCATTATCTCTGATGTCCATCCATAATAAACATCTATAATTCCACTCAGAAATCATAGAAAAAAGAGGCTGCAGACCCAGCCTGAGAATCATCATGTTTTTGGTTTTTTATTTCAGTATCAGTGCTCACAGTGAGAGTTGTCTGTACATCACTGGGTGCACTGCAAACAGGATCTGCTCACACATCATTCACATCACTGTGAATGGAGACACAGGCTAACAAATGACCCACATACTGGTTAAAATCACCCCCACTACAGGCGGAAAAGATGCTGATCTTGAATGTTATTCTTCTCCTCCAGGCCTCTGGCTCCGCCCCCTCCACACGACCAGCCAGTCAGAAGACTTCACACTGAATTTATCAGCAGCACCAGCTGAGTCGCAGGGCTTCCAGAAATGCTCTCAAAAATCTAATTATCATCATCAAATAAAGAAATCTCCTGTTATTTGTGGGCCTAACCAGATAAACTGACATGTTGTTGGAACAATGAACATTTAATGTCAAAATGAATCATTTGGTTTGTGGTAATAACAAAATATATCAGTTTGAAGCTGAGAAAGAATTTGTTCAAACATTATTATGAGAAACTGAGTGATGATGATGTTGTTCTGTAAATATTATGCTGATGTAAGATAATAAATGATGATCAGTCCACTGTGTCATAAAGCAGTGCTAATGAGAGAAAGCCTATTACAACAGCTCAACAAATGTCTTCTTTTCTGCTCATTTTATTTCAGTTTTGTCCCCTCACACATCTGGCTTGACCTACAGAAAGATGAAGAGAATCGTATTTGCTACTTAATCACACCCAAAATTAAAAGTAAACGTGTAATATATAATACAGTATGAAAGCCATAGACAATATCATGGTATAGTATGCCAAAAATGTCATAGAACGATATGCTAACAAATGTCTTAGTATAGTATGATAAAAAAAAGTCATATTACAGTATGCTAAAAATGTCACTGAAAAGTACATCTGAAAATGTCGTAGTACAGTATGACACAAAATGTAATCGTATAGTATGCCAAACAATGTGAATATAGAATGCTAAACATGTCACTGTATAGTTGTCTATGTAATATGCCAAAAATGACTAGGATAATATGCTAAAAATGTCTTAGTATAGTGTGCTAAAAAAAAATGTCTACCAAAAAATATCAATATAGTACGGTAAAAATGTCACTGTATAGTAGTCTGAAAATGTGATAGTATGGTATGCTCAAAAATATCATAGTGTAGTATGCAAAAATAACATAGTATCTAAAAAGTCAGTTTGCAAAAAAAACGTGATAGTATAGTATACTAAAAAATGTGATAGTATAGTGAGACAAAAATGTCAAAGTAAAGTATGCTAGAAAATGTCAAAGTATAGTATGCCAAAAAAACCTGTTACAAACGTCATAGTAAAGTATGTCTAAAAAAAATCATAGTATACTATGTCGAAAAACATCATAGTAAGCCTATAGCATGTCAGAAAGAGTCAATGTATAGCATGCTGAAAAAGGTGTTAAAAAACTTCATTGTATAGTATGTAAAAAAAAGTCATATTATATTATGTTAAAAAAAGTGTTAGCAACATCATAGTATAGAACCTTGAAAAAAATCATAGTATAGTATATCGAATAAAGTAATAGTATAGTGTGTCAAAAAAACATCATAGTAAGCATATAGCATGTCAGAAAGAGTCAATGTGTAGCATGTTGAAAAATGTTTCAAAAACGTCATAGTATTTTATGTAAAAATAAAAAAAAAATAAAAAAACTGTTAAAAACAGTATGGAATGTTGAAAAAAGTGTTAAAGTCATCATAGTTTAGTATGTCGAAAAAAGTGTTGAAAAAGTCACAGTTTAGTATGTCGAAGAAAGTGTTTAAAAGTCATTGTATGTTATGTGAAAAAATCTGTTCAAAAGATCACAGTTTAGTATGTCAAAAAAGTCATAGTATAATATGTAAAAAAAACCCTGCACAAAACGTCATAGTATAGTATGTTGAAAAAAAGCTTTAAAAATGTCATTGTATAGCATGCTGAAAAAGTTTTAAAAACATCATAATATGGTATGTCGAAAACACCTGTTGAAAATATCATAGTAGAGCATATCAAAATAAGTGGTTAAACCGTCATAGTATAGCATGACGAAAAACCTGCTCAAAACATCATATTATAGCATGTCGAAAAATGTCATAACATAGCATATCGAAAAAACTGATAAAAACCGTCATAGTATAGCATGTCGAAAATGGTCATTGTATAGCTTGTTGAAGACATTGCTTAAACCGTCAACGTAGAGCATATCGAAAATAGTCACGGAAAAGCATGTCGAAAAAACGGCTCAAAACGTCACATTTATAGCATGTCGAAAAAAGTGCTAAAAATATCATAGTATAGCATGTCAAAAATAGTCATAGAATGGCTGGTTGAAATTAGTCACAATATAGGATGTTGAAAAAAATGCTTAAACTGTCATAGTATAGCATGTCAAAAACAGTCATAGAAAAACATGTCTAAAAAACTGCTCAAAACGTCACATTATGGCATGCTGAAAATAGTCATAGTATAACATGTTGCAAAAAGTGCTAAACACGTCATAGTATGGTATGGCATGTCTAAAAAACTGAAAAAAAAGTCTTAGTATAGAATGTTGAAAATGGTCATAGTATAGTATGTCGAATAAACTGCTAAAAATGTCATAGTGTAGCATGACGAAAATGGTCATAGCATAGCATGTCAAAAAAACCTGCTAAAAACGTCATAGTTTAGTATGTCGAAAATAGTCATAGTATAGCATGTTGAAAATAGTTATTGTTTAGCAGTTTGGAAAAAGTGCTAAAAACGTCATAGTAGAGCATGTCAAAGAAACTGCTAAAAAAGTCATACTATAGCATGTCGAAAAAAGTGATAAAATTGTCATAGTATAGTATGTTAAAAAATACTGATAAAAACGTCATAGTATAGCATGTCGAAAATAGCCATAGTATAGCATGTCGAAAATAGTCATAGTATAGCATGTCAAAAAACGCTGAAAAAAAGTCATAGTATAGTATGTCGAAAAAAAAAACTGAATAAAAGTCACAGTATAGCACGTCAAAGAAACTGCTAAAAACGTCATAGTATAGCATGTCAAAAAACCCTGAAAAAAGTCATAATATAGTATGTCGAAAACAAAACTGAATAAAAGTCATAGCATAGCATGTCGAAAATAGTCATAGTATAGCATGTCGAAAAAACAGCTAGAAACGTCATAGTATACTATGTCGAAAATAGCCATAGTATAGCATGTCGAAAATAGTCATAGTATAGCATGTCAAAAAACCCTGAAAAAAGTCATAGTATAGAATGTTGAAAAAAAAACTGAATAAAAGTCACAGTATAGCATGTCAAACAAACTGCTAAAAACGTCATAGTATAGCATGTCGAAAATACTCATAGTATAGCATGTTGAAAATAATCATAGTATAGCATGTCGAAAAAACAGCTGAAAACGTCATAGTATAGCATGTCGAAAATAGCCATAGTATAGCATGTCGAAAAAACAGCTAAAAATGTTATCATATAGCATGTTTAAAATAGTCATTGTATAGCACGTCAAACAAACTGCTAAAATGTAGCAGTATAGCTTGTCAAAATAAGCCACAGTATAAAATAGTCATAGTATAACATGTTGTAAAAAGTCCTAAACACGTCATAGTATGGTATGGCATGTCGACAAAACTGAAAAAATAAGTCTTAGTATAGAATGTTGAAAATGGTCATAGTATAGTATGTCTAATAAACGGATAAAAATGTCATGGTAGCATGACGAAAACAGTCATAGTATAGCATGTCGAAAAAAATGCTAAAAATGTCATAGTTTAGTATGTCGAAAATAGTCATAGTATAGCATGTCGAAAATAGTCATGGTTTAGCAGTTTGGAAAAAGTGCTAAAAATGTCATAGTATAGCATGTCAAAGAACCTGCTAAAAACGTCATAGTATAGCATGTCGAAATTACTCATAGTATAGCATGTCGAAAATAGTCATAGTATAGCATGTCGAAAAAACAGCTGAAAACGTCATAGTATAGCATGCTGAAAATAGCCATAGTATAGCATGTCGAAAAAACAGCTAAAAACGTTATCATATAGCATGTTTAAAATAGTCATTGTATAGCACGTCAAACAAACTGCTAAAATGTAATAGTATAGCTTGTCAAAAAAAGCCACAGTATAAAATAGTCATAGTATAACATGTTGCAAAAAGTGCTAAACACGTCATAGTATGGTATGGCATGTCGACAAAACTGAAAAAAAAAGTCTTAGTATAGAATGTTGAAAATGGTCATAGTATAGTATGTCGAATAAACTGATAAAAATGTCATAGTGTAGCATGACGAAAACAGTCATAGTATAGCATGTCGAAAAAAATGCTAAAAATGTCATAGTATAGCATGTCGAAAATAGTCATAGTATAGCATGTCGAAAATAGTCATGGTTTAGCAGTTTGGAAAAA